TAAGCGGAATTTGAAAAGTCACGCGCGCGCCTCCACTCGTGATTGAGTTTGATTGAATTTCACCCAAAACGACTACAACTACAGCTTTCACTACAGCTTTTTGAGCCTTCCATCTCAACGCTCTGTAAGGCTAATACTTGCCAGAAATATAGCTCTTGGATCGATTATTACGCCAGCAAATTTCTTCTTCCGCGCTTCGTTCGAACGCGCACAGATGGCCAGCAACAATTTGGGCAGAGGATCACGTCTTCTGGACGCGTTGGATAGCTCTATGAGTCCAGCTCCCGCGATCGCTACCCCCAGAACACCATTAAACGCGCTAAACACCGCAGCAGCAACCCCAACGTCTAGTCAAAAGCCAAACAAAGAAGTACTCAGGGAGGCTCGGGCTGCCCAACAGAAAGAGATGCGTCTCACGCAAGCAGGTACGTTTTACTCCTTTTCATCGCATGCTAAACTTATTTGTACATCTAGAGGGCGATGCGCAGCTTATAATGGGCCCCACGCCTGCTAGTACACCCAAAGTCGCTGGATCGCAAATTGCAGGAGGCGGTGGGTTTGGACTGAACTACGATGACGAAACTCCTGTGAGAGCTATCGATATCGGTGAGCGCTCATCTATTCTGCTCATTCCAGCGGTCTCTTAAGACCAGCTTTTTCAGGTGGCCCTGATCAACAGCTACGGTCAGCAGTCACATTTCGTCCTTACGAGGATAGATTCTAACGCTCTCTCCTCATAGTATGGCCGAATTCGTCACCAGGACGCTTGACAATGCTCGTGACGATATCACCGTCAAGGCTGCATTGAAACAGCTGAATCTTGAGGAGTGCGTACCAAAATGTTCTCTTCCTCCTTCTTTCACTTATTAGCTCGTTACAGTGTCGACGACATCCTGCCAGGCATGAATGTACGGCTACTGCCTCATCAAGTCATCGGTGTTGCTTGGTGCGGCATCCCAGTTAACTAGCGCCTGTCCGTTTTGAGGTTTGATTTGCAGGATGTTGGATCGAGAAAACAGCAAAGACAAGGGTGGCATTCTGGCGTATGTATTTCCCAAATTTCGAGGAATTATGCTCACTGTGTATTTTAGCGATGACATGGGTTTGGGAAAGACTGTTCAAATGATAGCTACGATGGCTATGAATCAACCCTCTGTAGAAGATGAGGACGCTTGCAAGACTACTCTGATTGTCGTCCCGGCCGCGCTCTTGCAGCAGGTGTGATAATTTACCTTCCTTCATTTCAGCACCATTTCTGAATGATTTCCATAGTGGAAGGACGAAATAGAGTCGAAAACGAACGATATAATGTCTGTTCATGTACATCATGGCAAAGACAAGCTCAAGGTATGCATGCTCTTTCCCAAGTTGTTCAATTCTAACATTGCCCCAGAAACGTTCGGATATCAAGAAATACGATGTTCGTCTGCCCTTATGCCTTTACGAGCTTTATTCACGCTTTCGCCCAGGTTATCGTTACTACGTATCAAACACTTAATGGAGATTTTAATTTCCCCAAAGACCTTCCATCCGAGGAAGAATCGGATTGGTTAGCACAAAACGGGTAAGTTTTTCTAACTTTTCACGGCTGGGTGCTTACCCCATCTCAGAGGTGTCCTCGCGCGCACGAAATTCTTCCGTACCATTGCAGATGAAGCTCAATTTATCAGGAATCGGTGAGGCTTCATATTACTGTTGTGCAACTCACGCTATAGTGAGAGTAAAACGATAGTGCAACGCGTTCAAGCGTTAGTCTCGCACATGTCCAAGCAACTTATAGATGGATGTTGACGGGAACACCTGTCACGAATACTCTGTACGTCGCCTTGTTCTGTTTCCATATCTGCACTAATTCCTTTCCCAGTGCCGACCTCTATGGTCTACTTAGGTTTGGCCGCTTCAGGCCCTGGAATGACTGGAATGACTTCAACTCGCACGTCGTAAGATACACTTTTTATGATACTATTGTGTGCTATTCTCACTCACTTGATGATGTAGGCCAAGATGCAAGTTATGGACGCACCTCTTGCGGGTACACCTATATTCACAATTCCGCCGATCCTCTACATACTCATACTGAATATTAGGTGAACGCGCTCGAGCAATTCTAGCGCCTCTGCTCCTTCGGCGCACCAAGAATTCAACATTAGATGGTGAACCTATTCTCAAGTTAAAGCCAAAGACAATCGAGCTCGTTAAACTCGAGTTCTCTCCTGACGAACGAGATGTGAGTTCTTTTATTTTCTTCAAGTAACTCTTAGGCTGATTATTTGCGTGAACAGGTTTACGATTCGTTCGAAAAGAAGTCAAAGATTCGTTTGAACAAGTTCATTAGGGAACGGACGCTCTTGAAGAAGTGGGGAATCTTTGAAACTTGTTAATGTTGTCGCTGATGATATTGCTACTACCTCAGCCATTCTTTCGTGCTTGTGGGTTTATCTTTTCTCAATAACTTCCCAACGTACTAATGGAATCCCTGATCTTTCAAGGTCATGATTCTACGACTTCGGCAACTCTGCTGCCATCCCAACCTTATCCTGTCTCAAACGGACAAGTTCGACGACCCTACTGATCTGATGGGTGACGAGGCGGAGAAGGAAAGAGCTCGAGCGGTCAAGGCAAAGGGCAGGATTTGGGTTGACGGAGTAAGTTTCGTATTTTCAATTTACCAATTTCAAGCTGATATTATTGGATTAGATCCTACGCCAGTATGTCAAACGTTCCGATTTTTATTTACACAGGTCGACCTGTTTAATAGGTTCCTACTCCGTGCGCGCGCGAGCGAACTGTTGGATTACGAAGACGACGAGGCGGGAGAGGCTGCTACGTGCCCTGTTTGTGAAGAAGGTGTGTCTCCCTTCCTTGAAGACTGAGTTGGGCCCAACTAATATGTTTCAGTATTCACTCCCGTGAATGGACGAGTACTCACTTGTGGCCATGAAGTCTGTTTCGGTCAGTGTTTCATCCTTCGAATCCAGTGCATGAGTACTGATAATCATACAGACTGTATCATGGATATCCGAAACTCGCCAATGGAACACAACGGCATCTTGTAGGTCGTTCCTGCACCTTGTAGACACCTGCTCATATTGACGTTTTCTTTCCAGTGGTGAAGGCTCGGAGAAGCAGAATCTCGAGGAAGAGAGAAAGTTCGAGGAAGCAAACGCTAAAGGATATCGAAAATGTGGGTCATTATCTTCTCTGCCTCGCGTCATTACTGACTCTACATCTGCGCTCAGGCCCTACTTGCAAGACCATCCTCGACATGGGGGCCAACATGATTTTCAAATCCGCTGCCTTTGAACCTACCGACGAAGAGCTAAGCAAGCACGCTGATGCTGAACGTCGCCGCCGTCGCAACAAGAGCGGTTCCTCTTCATCCAAAAAGCTACCAAGTTTCAACAAGAAGAAGGCGGTTGCTTATGGCTCGTCTGAGGATGAGGAAGAGGATGACCAAGATCCTTACTCGTCTAAAGCGATGAAGGCCTTTGAGAAGGGCTTGGATTCCGACGACGAACTTCCTGATTTAGCAACTATCATGCGTCCAGGTAAAGAAGCAGAAGATGGAAACTAGTAAAGTTGAACCTGTGAGTCTTCAGCGGTTCCCGAGTCCCAGTCATTGACTGAATTTGATTTAGAATGACGACGACATCGTTGATCTTACGATGGACGACATCTCTCAGCCAATCTTCTCCAGTCCCAGCTCACCCGGCGAGTCATCCAAGAACAAGCGCAAGAAAGGGAAGGGCAAAGACGACTCTGACGATTCTTCAGAAAGCGGTCTTTCGAAGGCCCTAGTCGCGGCTTGGTCGAAAGGAGACGACGATCTTGAGCCAAGTATCAAGATGATACAATTGGTCGAATACATCAAGGAGTGGGAAGCAGTAGGTGATAAGACTATTTGCTACTCTCAATGTGCGTTTTTGCTTCGCTCTCTTTCTTATTAGTGCCGTTGCTGAATTGTTGTCGCCCTCGTAGGGACGTCCATGCTCGACCTCATTGAAGTTCTCTTCTCAAGACACGGGATACGTTCTCTGAGGTTTGACGGTAAAATGGATCGCAAGTCGAGAGATCGCACTCTAGCGCAATTCAGGAAGGCTGATGGACCCAAGGTCATTCTTATCAGTACGAAATCTGGTGGTGTCGGGTAAGCGATCCCTTGGTAGCGCGGCTCGACATGGATTGAACTCATCTCCTTCTTCCTTTTTCTAGATTGAACTTGGTGGCTGCAAACCGAATTGTCAAGTAAGCCAACCAACCCTTGGAATCGAGGATGATTAATTAATCCTTTCCTTAGCATGGACCTTTCGTGGAACTACGCCGCCGAATCCCAGGCTTACGACCGTGCTCATCGTATTGGCCAGGAGAAGCCGGTGTATGTCAAGCGGTTGGTGGTGACGGACACGATTGAGGAACGGTTGTTGCAGTTGCAGGATGTGAAAACTGGTTCGTACCTTACCTTACCATGCCCCACCCTCTCTTTCCGTTCTTTGTTTGTTGATCTATTCAATATACGTGCAGGTCTCGCGGAAGCTGCTCTTGGAGAGGGAACGGGAACAAAGTTGAAGAAGCTTAGTATGAAGGATATCAAATTCGTGAGTTTTCTTTGCGCATGCTCTTGAGGGTGCTGACGTCTTCCTTGTAGCTGTTCGGTATGACGAAGAACAACAACCCCACTAATAATAATAACGGGGCGCCATCGGGCTCACAAGATGATGAGTAGATACGATGGTATGTTCTGTGGCAGTCTTGTTTATCCTCTGTGTCTGCGCGCTTGCGTGCGCCCTGTGTATATTATTAGCATTAGTAGGTAGGTTTCATTTTTAATGAGCTATAGTCTATAGCTTGATGTCTATTGTAGTATTCTTTTTTTGTGTATTAACTCAATGCACAATACCAATATCCATAATTTTATCTCTGAAGGTGCGCATGTTGTACGATTACAAATGGTCCCCAAAAAAATATAGAACAAATGTAGACACAAGCACTGCTAAAGCTATTGACGAGAGTGGGATTCGAACCCACGCCACGAATGACTAGATGCAGGGATACTTATGTATGTGGCAGACCTGATTCTAGCGCCTTAGACCACTCGGCCATCTCGCCATGTAAGATGATCCACTACACAGGTGTTTCAATTGGAACTTTGCAAATGAGTCAACTTGAGCATTCAAAACCAGATACGATACGAAATAATGTCCGTAGTCCGTGTATAACTATGTAAGGATACATACATGGATCGTCTGTGAATGAGTGATGCGAGCGAGTAACTTGGAAAAACAAGCAGCTCCTCGGGATCCGGGACTCAGACCTCCTACAACAACCACATTCCCGCAGCAACTCCAGCACCAACCGAAGCCATCAATCCCAAAGCTCCAGCATTCACGCTCAACGCTCCATTACCCGAGCTTCCCGTGGTACTAGCACTGCACCTGAAGTAGCAGCGCTGAGCACCTGAAGAAGCGCCATGAAGCAGCGCCAGAAGCAGCGCTAGCAGCTGCGCCGGTGACTTGGTTAAGAATAGAAGAAGCTTCAGAGGCCAACGATCCGGTCAAAGTGGCGGTCAAAGATGAAATCAACGGGTCGAGGAGGGATGTGTCTGATAGGAACTGGGTAGGGATCGCAGGGATTGACAAGCCGGAAGGAATAGTGATGGTGTGACTGAGATGAAAGAAAAAGGCGCGTTATTCAAGCTGATATTTATTGAAGATCTTCGTTCTACTGTTTACTCACCCTTCAATCACGGTAACAGAACCTCCATCATTCGATAATACGCTGGAAACAGCAGACAATGGCAGATGACTCCGCCGAGGAAACATCCTGTGCAATGACCGCAGCAGGAGTGAGAAGAACAAGGGCGCTGGCGAGGATGGTGCTGCTGGCAAACTTCATTGCAAAGATAATCGAAATGAAAGAGAGAGAGCGAGTTTGGGAGAATCGGTTGTGAGGGTCAAGAGCAGGAAGGAAAAAGTTGGATTCAATTCCGAGCCCATCTTTAAAAAGTGGAGCGTGGAATAAACGCCGGGGAGCAACTGCCGCCTGCCAGTTACCGATCATTCACCTTCATTCACTTGGCCCCGCTGCCCGCAGCACTGAGTGCAGTGACTTCATCCTTACACGAAGCCGATGTACAGTGCTTCGAGGGAGAGTGAATTCAAGGCTAATGGAGCAAGATTTGGTGAATGGGAGGCGGGGAAGCAGTGTTGGTCTCGGGTAAAAGCAACCCGTGTGGGAGTACATGTCAGAATAGCATCTACATCTAAATCCATCTGCATCCGAATTTCCGCAGTACAAAAGTCCTATATCCCAAATACCAAATATCATAGTAAAAGATCCACCTCAGCAGCCTGTCCACCTCCCTCCAAACCCTTCTCAAATCCCGCATCCAACAATCGATCCTCCGAGCTCGCACCATTCCAACTATTGACCACATCAAGAACAGTATCTACGTGTTCCACCGTCAGCGAAGCATTGTTGTCTAATGCAATGGCTTGTGCACTTCCAACCATGTTCTTAATCTACATATAGTGTAAAAACCAAATCAGCGACATGGGAATGAGCTAGACAGTAAAGCAAGCCTACCTGACGTCCATTAAGCGGATACCCTGCGAGACGATCGAGATCTGTCGAGCTGATAGCTTCCGCTGCGCCTGAACTACCCAGAACCTTGACGAAAAAGGTATTCCAGATCAGTCTTCGGGCATTATAATCGAGATCGGGGTATTGGATGGAAAAATGGATTCGACCTAGTAGACGTCAGTTCACAATCGCATCTGGACGCAGTAATATTAATAAAAGAAAGACCTACTTTCAAACGCAGCATCTATATGGTTAAGCAAGTTGGTAGTGAGAATGAGCACGCCCTGATAGTATTCTAGCTGTCGTAAAAAGATTGACACTAGTGCGTTTCTGGCTAGATCCGTGAAATCTCTCCGCTGCAAGAATACTTCGGCCTCAGTCAAGGAGAAGCACGCAACGCCAACGACTGAGCCAACTGCAGAATCAACGTCAATCGCTCATCGACGTCTTTCGGCTGAGTTCCCAGTTCACCGGCGCTGACGACATACAAAGCCCGGTGCGTCTTCTCAGCTATAGCTTCAGCAGTCAAGGTCTTTCCGCATCCTGGTCTTCCAGATAACAGACCGACGAGACCTTTTCCTTTACCTTTGACAATATCGTCAAATTGGGATTCGGACTCATTATGGGTGACGTGTTGTCGAACGAGGGCAGAGATGAGTGTTTTCTGTTTCTGCCCAAGCACAAGGAAATCAAAAGGTTCATCGGACCATACGATGTCTTTGAGACGGTCCATGGCGAAACCACCTGTAAAGTGGATAAGAAAGACATGCTCTAACAGCAAAAGAAAACGTTCGAGTTTACCCCATTTCTTGATTCCAAAGCAGAACCCGTAAACGACAGGGTTGCAGATCATGAGCTGCTCATCAGTGAGAGTAGCGCGGTCGAGTCGTCGAAAGACTGAAAAGTTGTAGTTGCGGTTAGGCTCGAAGCGACGGAATGCGACTGGATCAATCATAACTCGACCGTAGGACTAGGTATTCGACGTTAGAATGCGACGGGCCAGAGGGTAATTTAGAGGACTTGCATTAATTTTGAACCACTTTACTTCATTCTGTTGAGTGATTTGCTCCTGAATAACGGGCCCGTTGATTTCGTGGTAGGTATATGATTCCATAGACACGAATCTCTTCCCTCGCTTCAACGAGTGTTCTCGGAGTTCTGTCGCCTTCTCATGGAACGCGAGAGGAAATACAGGTAGATCCTGAATAATTCTGGCTCCCGTGAATATTTCAATCTCAATAGGCACCTGGGCCAGTCCAAAAAAGTTTCCGTCGTTGCTGATGATGTCGCAATAGACTATAGCATAGTCAGGCCGGTCTGGTGGACGGCGATATTCTACTTGTTTGACTTTTAAGATTTGGGGCTGTTCGGTGTACTGATGAAAATGATATACGAGCGCATTGGGAGGTAGGAGGGCCCAGAGAAGATCATATGTGATCTCTTGTTTCGCAGTCATGAGACTGTAGTCGGCGATGTTTTGGTTGTGATCTGCTTCGATAAATTGCATAGCAATATCAAGGTCGGAGATGAGAGCTTCATCGGGAGTATCCTTAGCGCGTTCCGCGACGAGTCTGTCGTTGAGACTGAATCGGGAGAAGAAGAATAGTTGCGGGTCAGCCTTGTAAAATCAAGTTAGAACGGATAAAAGGAGGTAGCAGAATTGACTGGTTAACGCACAACTGGTGGACTTTTGTTCAATGTAAGCCCGTCTACATCCTTGTTGATCTCCCTTAGTACTTCTGCCAATGCTGGGCTCTTGATATCAACCTCAGTAGCTGCAAGTCGCCCCTTGTAATCGATGATTCGTCGGACAACTAGTATTGGCTGCTTCTTTCCGCGGTGTTTTGCTACAGGTTTGGCTGTTTTCCGCAGGGTCTGTGAAAAGGTCCGCCTACAAGAATTTAGTTGAGATTGGATTTCAGAAGAATTGAGCCTACAAATCGAAACTTTTGGACGCATTAGAAAAATCATTGATCAAAGTTGAGGGAGAAAAGGACTTACTATTGGTCATAGCGCGCGATAAGTTTGTTTTGTTCCGTCTTTTCATTCGACTCTGTCGTCGTTGTCTTTTCTTTACCTTCCTGCGAAGCCATGTTTAGCAGACCAAAAAGAGTTGTATCGGTTCAATCATCCATACTCTTTAAGTATAGATTGCCAAGTCGGCGAGGCGCCAGTCCAAACCAGTGCCATCACAGCGTTTTTTTTCTATTCATCATCTGATAAAGTGGTCGCGGTCTGTCAATGATGACAGTCATATCTCCGTGATGTCAGGGTGAATCTCGAAGATCTATCCGCTTTCTTTCTTTCTTTCAACGAGTAGATGGCTAGTACGACCACTTTCCAGCGCGCGCTGGACGAATATCTCCAGAGTCTACCCTCACACAAGAAGAAGAGCAAGTTTCTGCTCGCTTGTTACAATTCCGAGTCTCCGGTAACCCCGGAGTCTCTGAACGATGTAATTGCTCATGCAGAAGAAAGAGCGTCGCGGCGGACTTCGAGGAGGATCATCAAGAAAGTTTTATCGCCAGTGGTTGCTGCTTTGAAAGAGTATTTTGGTGTCATTGATAATCTCGGTATGTTGGTTTACCTTCCGGATTCCGACCTCGGGCGCGCCCAAACTTTTCCTCCATTCGTCAGGCACTAACGCTGATTAACCGATAATTTTTTTCCAGTTAGCTATTCACTTCCTGCAGCCATAGTCTGGGGTGCAGTAAGAGTGATACTTGAGGTTCGTTTTAGAGCCCCTGCTGCTCTTCCTAGTACTCAAATCCCTTCGCTTGTACAGGGCATCGATCGATGTGCAACTCTCTTTGACTCGATTAAAAACCAACTGCGCGCCCTAACTGTGATCCTACAACGCATTACTGAATACGAGGATATTTATAGAGATTCGACCATCTTGCAAGATCTTCTTTGCAAGACTTATGTAGAGATCTTTCGTTTCTGGTCTAGAGTTGACCGGGAATGTGATCAATTCGGTAAGCACGCCTAGACGAGCGCTGATATAGCTCCGGGCTTCAGCGCTGATTTCAGATCCACAGGTATAAAGTCACTTTTGCGTGTAGCAACCTCATTTGCCGACGAACAAACTCGACGAGAGTATTCGCGATATTGGAAGCTACGTGGAAGCCATCGAAAAGCTTGCACCTATAGTAGAGGCTAGAATTACCAGAGGCGAACAGGAAAACGCTAAACGCGAACGTATGGAAGCTGGACTAGAGCGTTTAGAAGCACAGGTCGAGCGTCAAGCACAACGTGAATTTCGGGAGTTGTACCAGGATGACCGACATAGTAAGTGTCTACAAAACAACTACGTGTTTCAACTCTTTGACGACCCGGATGTAGATGAACGATACTACAACATTTCCTCCTGGCTCGATTCTAGGGAAGCCATAGAGTCCAACCAGAACCGACACGATATGAATCTACGGTCTCATTTTAGCGGGACATGCACATGGCTTTTGGATAACAAAGACTATTCCAACTGGGAGCAGGCTGTGAAATCACCCTCCGATTCTATGGTGTCA